CTCCCCCCCCCCCCCCCCCCCCCCCCCCCCCCCCGCCCCATGAATCCGTCCTGGATCCGCCTATGGCATATGCTAATACCAATTTACCATCGAAATAAATGGATGAGTCGCAGAGTCAAACAGAAGTATTGGTTGCCTATAAATATCTACAGGAAAGACGAAATAATTGCCAATTCAAAATTCTACCTAGGTATTTTGCTGCCGATCATGGCGCAACAGCAAGCAGCGCTGCACTCATTTTGAAAATCGAAAATCTCAGAATATTACCACCAATTTTTTAACGATTCGTCCGTTCATTTCGAAGGTAAATTACTGATGGCGCAAGCCAGAAACTCGTATACCCTATCAGCTTGCTTTTAAGCGATTCTTGAAAGAGGAACTGTGGACAGCCTTTTCAGCAGGTGATTTTTTTTAGCACAAGTCATCATCCGAACTAATGTTTATCCGCCTGTGATGGAAAGTGAATCGCGAAAGGGGTTGTTTTAACTTTATTATAATGATTTTATTAATAAACTATTAATGAACTAATAATAAGTAATAATGATATTAATAAAATTAATATCAATTTGTTAATATTAAAATATTAATATTAATAAAAGGAAAATAGGAGATGAGAATTACAAAATTTGTAAAATTATTATAATTCCTCATCTAATTTTACAAATTTTGTACTTCTCACCTCCTACCTTCCTTTTTGTTTCCCCTTCTTATTTCATCTCTTGTTAATATACCATTCTATTTAACTTAGATATTTTATTCAGCTGCTGTTTTACCACAATGCAGTTAACTGAGGACGAAGCTATATAGCCCGTGATTATAACCTTACTGCTCTGTTCCTGTAGTTTGTTTTCCTCCCTTTTTAATCATTCCTCACAAAAAAGTCATTCCCTAGGAAATCTTGGCGTTATCGCGTCTCGTAAAGAAAAATCAGAAAACACTTTGCGACAACTATATGCCCTTTTCGAAATCATGAGAATCTCACTAAATAAAAAGTCAAAGCTAATCAAGCTAAAATCTCCTTCCAATTGTTGCAACGGGCCTCCATTTCCACAAACATGTAGAAATCATTATGTACTTGGAGCGGCTGTTGATTTATCGGCAAAATTTTGATAGCTGCCGAAGTTCTCCTTTAGCTCACACTACTGGTGGTCCCGGATTTCATTTTCTGCAGAGACTCGCAGTTAAAGGATCTCTCACAAAAGCATTTTGGCAAGGTTCCAACGCTCTAAAGATCCCACCTAGCATGCATTAAGCATCATCAGTATCCATATTTCCCAAAAATTAAAATCGGAAAGAAAACAACAATACCTGATAATAATTATCCAATGATTTTGCTAAAGAATGATGTATAACGTATCGAACGTCAGGCTTATCAATACCCATTCCTGAACAAAGAAGAAATCAGCCTAACCGATAAACCCTTAATAAAAAAACACGAAAGCTTAACAATTCCACTGCTGCTTTGCAGGAGACGCTACAAATGTACGACCGCTAAATTCGGATCAATAGTTCCCAAAATTTACATAAAACTGCGAAAAATTCCACTAAATTTGCATAAAACATAAAAGCAGTCTAAATTTGCATGAAACCCTAGAAAATAAGAAATCTCTGCAGATTTTCCATTGAATTCCTAAAATTGCATGAGAACAAAAATT